GGCCTTGGAAAATTTAAACTTGTAACAGTGTTTTGGTGTAGCTAAGAAATTTATTGTAAATATATTTTAAGTGACCTTTTAAAAAAAATAATAAGGAAGTAAAATGCGATATTGCACATTCATATTATTTTTTCCATAAAAATTCAGATTTAATGGTATAATAATTTAAAACTACTATAAGACGACCTATACAAGTTATAAGTTTGAAGAGTTAAACATTATTCATGTTGATTGCTATAGAATATTGAAGAAATTTATTTATTTTTCAAAAACTGTATGTTGTTGATTTTTCAGTGTATGGTTAAATTTTTATTAAATAGAAAATATTTAATCAGATAAAAATCAGATTTTAACTTGCAATTTGCTAATAAATACTAAAATTTTAGGGGTGGTAATACTCGTATTATTGAAAGTATATACATTTTATGCCTATTAAAGAAAGCTCCTATATAGGATCGATGAACGTTATTTTGTTTATTTTACTTTTATATATAAACTGAAATTATTTAAGTGGTCGACAAACAATAAGAGTACTAGAGTTGCAGAAATATTTCAGCTCCAAATTTTGAGTGTATTTTAGAATCATTCGAAAATTTTGAATTATTTATTTAATTTACAAATTAACTAAATGCTTGTTAAAATTCTTGAAATAAGATAGACACCGTATTTATATAGTTGAGAAAATTTTCATTTCTTCCCAAATGATCTTTTATTTTTAAATGAGGTCATCCAAACTCTTTTAGCTATAATATTATAAAGTTTCATTATTTCAGTATCTAAGGTTAACCAAGATTACTCTAATTTTCTTTTTTCTTTTTTTTATTAAAATCCATTACTCATTTTACTTACAACAATTGGTATAATTATTTTTATGTCTTGTATCTGACATTTTAGAATTGTTTTTCCTATTTGAAAAAAAAATTCAGAAAGAATTATTGCAGCATTTAAAAAACAATTCTTTATTTACTAAATAAAGACTTATTTTTTTTTTTAAAGTGAAACATCTGGAAAAATATTTTAATTTTTTATATTTTTTGCATTTTCGAAAATTTTTTAGAATTCATTAGTTTTTTGTATATAAATAATTGGTTATAATAAATTTGGAAATCTTTTTTCAAATTATAATTTTGCACATCAAAATTATAATTAAATTTTATTTTAATACCATTTGGCTATTATCATTCTTTACAATTTACATACTGCTTTACTACAGATAGCTTTTAGATTAAATGTCTTTACATAAATTTATATTAAAAATTTCAAATGAATTATTTTATTATTATTTTATTATTCAAATGTATTCGAAGCGCAGAGATTTTAAAGGTGTTTTTAGATTGTTATGATAGTGATATGTTTAGCAAAATAGTCCCATATTAAAAATATTTTACTGGGATAATTTAAAAGTTTTCAAATATAATGGTGTTGCGATCAATTATGAGGCGTAATAGTTTAATATTATTATACTATTAGTTTAATTGTTTTTCTTATTTTATTTAATTAAAATTTTCACAACAATTTTCTCATTTAATTTTAGAAATTTACAATTCAATAATGCATAATATATGTATGTACGTAATTGAATTTTAATTAATTTTGAAAAATGAAATAGTGTCAAGAAAATTGCCAAAATATTTTTTAATTATTAATTTATTTTTATATTAAAAAAATAATTAAAAATTTCAGAAACTTAATTGATTTCGAGCAAAATAAAATCACCATAACTATAAGAAAATTTTCTTTACTATCGAATAAGAACCCAAAATGAGAAAGAATATTAAATTTTTATGAAAAATTAATTTGTTGATGATATTGAACAATCCATTAATATTCGTTTCAAGTAATAATTAAATATTTATGTTAATTTTTTACTTTCTTAATAATAATTAATTTTGATTATTTCTGTTATTATTAAGGATAAAGTAAGAGAATTGATTTAAAATTTCAATGAAACTATGTTTAACGTTTTATTTATTCAAAAAAAAAACAATTTAATTAAAAAAATTAACAATTAATAAAAACAATTATAAATTTTCTCTAATACTTTTTAAGCAAATAGCATTTTCTCTAACTTAATTTTCTTACTTTTCTGACTCTTAATTTTCTGACTTAATTTTGTCCGTATAGATTTTTTTTTGACTCGGATTTATTACTAACTTAGCATACTAAAACATAAGTATATAAAAAGTTTTATAATTGCGAATATCTACTAACAATCGAAAATGCTTATTTTAATGCAGAACAAGATTCCAAAGAAATGTATCTTAATTAAATAGACCTTAATTAAAATGAAGCTCAATGAGTAACAATTCTCGTATACAAATCCGTGTATGAATTTCTATTAAAATCCGTCATCAGAAATTAGAGCAAATTATTACTTGTATTAAGTATGCTAAACATTTCTGTGACACCGTAAGAATTTGTTTATACCTCGTAAACTTAAAAACAAAAAGAGAATATTGTTTTTACTTCCCTTAAGTAAAACATTTTCATTTCAGTTTTGTTCAAATTTCAACAAACTTACAAACATATTGTAGTGAAGGTATAAACAAAATGTAAGTGAGAATTGAAAATTAAATATAAAAAAAAAATTAAAGATTTTAGCGTGGTGGCTTAATGTGTAACTAACTACATGTACACGTTCTTGCTAATGAAGAGAAATGAAATGTTAAAATGAGATTTGAGTTTTTCTTTTTTCATTAAATTTTTCTTCGTTTTAAAATGACCTTTTAATTAAATTGCTTGGAAAATGAAATCATTTGTAAACCAAATTGCAGAGAGGACGTAATATTTTGTTAATGCTTTGTTTTTTAACTGTACGAGTATATGTATATAAAATTACATCATTACATATAAAGCAGAATTTTTGTAAAGTTATTATGAACTTCACATTTGATACCTGATAAAGAACACTTCACAATTTTTAATATATGGTGTTTTACAATAGAATCGCTTTAAAGATTTTCAGCAAATTTGCACATACAAATTCTGTACGTTAGTAGTAAATTAGTAGTATGTGTAGTTAGTGTAATTAGTAGTAATGTTCTGTAAATTAGTAGTATTTGAACATACTACAAATTTTATTTAAACTATATTTATCTACCTAGTGTCTTAAAAAGTAACTATAATTTCTTAAATGAGCTGCTAAAAATTCAATTATGTACATGATTGAAGGGGATTTAAACAAAAGAAAAGAATAATTGGCAATGACAAAATGAAAAAATTTCATGCAAACTTGTTATTTTCTTCTTAAGTTATTCAGTTGACGGGCTTTCACTGTTCCACTTGTTGAAATCAACACACTTAATTTGAATCCTTTCTTGTATAGATATAGTTTTTGTGTCTTTTTGAGTTTTTGGGAAGGATTTTAAATGAAATGGTTTATATTTGCATGTACCGTGCCTTAAACGAGATTTACAAGTTAACTTGTTTTAAATAACATTTGTACTTTATCATATGGTTATTCATCGACGCCGACTGACATTCTGAGCAAAGCTTTGCTCGTTACCGTTTAACTTTTATATTTGATAACTGTGAAAATATTCTTTTTATATTGAATTCCTATCTTTATTCAAACAAAAATTTCTAAGAGTTTGCTTTCTATTCTTTTACTAAAGGCTATGCATAGATTTCAGTTTTTGCACACATTACTTAAAGTATAACTTGATCATACCTTCCAGTATTGACCAATTCTAAGAATAAGTACTGGACAAAAACGTTTTTCATTCCTCTTTTAAAAAAAAAAAGCATTTTTTTTGTGCTTATTTATTTATTCGAATTACTCCTCGTGTTCGTTTTTTATACCCTGCACTTCGTGAAGGGTATATTAACTTTGGTATGGAGTTTGTAACTATTTGAAGGAGTCATCTGCGGTATGGACATATATATATATTCTTGCTCAGCGTAAAATTCTGCGTCGATTTAGACATGTCTCAAAAACGAATAATGCAATCGACACCAAACTTTCACAAGTTGTTTCTTTTGTGCCAAGAACGAACCCTATTGTTATTGGACTAATTCGGACAACGGGTTCGGGTAGCTGCCATACAACTCAAAGAGTTTATTTTAAATATTTCAAAAACTGATAAAGGTACAAATATAAAATTTTGTATACATGTGTCCAATTATATTCTACATATGTTCTAATTTTAATGGGATAGCTGCACCGGTTCGGGTGGCTGCCATACAACTCCAAACGCAAATTTTTTATATTCGGCAAAATAATAAAGTCAGATTCATGAAACTTGACAGTCATGTGTCCAATTAAAGGTCACATATATTTCTGAAGTTTTAGTGGAATTGCTTGACAGGTTATTTAAAATATTTGAAAAAAAAATAAAGTCAGATTTATGAAACTTGGCAGTTGTGTGTCTGTTATAGGTCAAACATATCCGTAAAGTTTCTATAGAATGGTTTCACAGGTTTGAGTAATTGCTATATAACAACGAAAGGTGCAGGGTATAATTCAATTGGTTTATACCGACTGAAACGTTTTTACTTGTTTCTTCTTTTCGTTAAAAATTGAAAATATTTGCAAAATTTGTTTATAATTAATTTATTTATGTACATAATTTTTTTGAGTCTTCCATTCACCATCGAAATTAAAACAACAAAAATTACAAAAACAGAAAGCCCTGTGTTTTTTCTTCATTTAACTTCTTATTATTTTTTAACTAAAAATGAAAAAATAAAATCGTAGCAAAACAAAAAAAGTAGCAATAAAATTGCAAGAAATGGGGAAAATTAATTACGGAATTGTATGGAAAAATTGCAAACAAATTTTTAATTTCATAAAAAAAATCATAGTGAGTAAAGGAAATTTTTTAATTTTTTGTTTTCTGAAATTTTTAACCGATACCATGGTAAATTGCCTTATTTAAAATTATAATTAAGTTAATTTGAAAATAGTTTTTAAGTAGCTACCAAACATTTATGAAAGTTAAGCAAAAATTTTTTATAATTTTTATTTATTATTTTTTTTTCTTGTCTTTCAAAAATAACAGGGAAGTTTGGCCCGAAAATGATAATTTCGGTGCACTTATTTGTTCTCCAGAAGATGAACTGATAATTTTGCGAGAAATATTTTTAGCAAATTTAGGACAAGGTAAGTTTTTTCTTTCTTATGCTATAATTAATTATTATTGTTTAACATAAGTTTGAAGCATTAAAGTTGATTTGTAGAAGAAACGTGGGCTTAATTAGTATAACGTGTAGAATCAAATCATAAACCGCTTAAAGATATGGTTTTACTTCTAAACTATTGATGTTTTTTTTGTTTTTCTGACTTATGAAATAGTATATTCTATAGTTTCTGAAGTTATGAAATGGTGTATAGGATATAAAATTTGACTAATTCAAAAGGAGATTGCTTATCTCTCTCTACTTCTCTGATTTAGAATTTTTCTTCAATCCTACTAAATACATATATCTAAGATCAAGATGATTTATGAGGAAATCATAAGAATTACTGGAAATTATTGTTATAAAGGAAATTGAAGAATTGAAAATTATGGGTACGCAACCAAATTCATTTGCTGAAATTTTAGTTTTGTAGCTTCAGTTACAGCCTATGAAGTTGTGTGACAGTTACCACAACTAGTAGTTATCAAACATAATTGCCCTAATAATATATTTACTTGTGGAAGTTTTTAAAACTATGAGCTTAATAATTTCTGAGGTACGGCCAAATAACTTTTGGAGTTGTATGGTAGCTATCACAAGCGCTCATAAGATCTAATTTTCTTTTCAACTTTTTTCACCGAAAGTTTTGGCCATGTCATTTGTTTATGTAAAATTTTACATTTGTTTATGTAAAATTTCAGTACTGTACCTTAAGTACAATTAATAGTAATAATAATTTGTAGTAGCTGTCACAAGGACTCGAGGATTTTCAGTGATTTTAATCAAGTACAATAGTCTTAATAATATAATTCATATATAGGCAATTTCAATACCATAGTTTCTATAATTTCTGAATTATATAGCCAAACAAATTTTGAAGTTGTATGGCAGCGACCCGAACCAGTACTTCGATTTATTTAATTTAAATAGCGTTTTGGTATTTACTATAATAAATCATTAAATAATTTATTATCACAAATTTTGTGAAATTATGGAAAACTTAGCTTAATCAGTTTCTGAGTTGTCGTTGGAACGGACGGACGCAAAGATAGACAAGCAGACATGGTTAAATCGTCTCAGAATTCGACGCTGATCAAAAATGTACGGTTATGTCTATATCTTAGCCCATTATTTTGCAAAGGGTAATGTAACTATATTTAACTATCGAGTTACAGAAACCGTTCTATTTTAAAATAGTTAAAAATGTGATTAGTATTCAAGGGTTAAATTAAAATCACTTGCAAATTTTTAAAATAATTTATGTTAAATAGTTTAATGTGTACGAGTGTATGTTATTTTTATTCTCTTGCAATTTTAGATATAAAATTTTTTTTGTTATACATAAAATGTCGAACAAAATATTGAACATTTTTCAGGCAAAATAATAACTTTCAAACTTTGATAAAATCAAATTAGTTAAAACTTAACATAACTTTTTTTTTACAAAATTTTCGAAGTAACCCACTCAAAATATAAAAATATGAAAACCTTCTTCTTATTGACTTAATTATTGTAAAATATAAAAAAATAAAATAAAAAAATGAAATATGAAAAGAAAAACTTAAGAAAAAATCCTTAATAAAATTATAAATTCTAAAGAGGATCCTTGTATACATATATAAAATTCCTTAAATGAAATCTAACCATGTTAAAAAACCCAACTAAAATTGAATCTTCATCGTTTGGAAGAAATCGAATTTTCTTTAGCAAGTTAGTATAGTATCGATCTAATATTAAAAATATACATTATATATGTATGTATTTGTATACATATATAGAACAGTGTACTTATACAGATTTTGTGTACATACTACAGTAGTCCTATTAAAAAATCTTTTGAATCCTTTTTATAGAATAGATTTTGTGTTAAATATATACTTTTCTGCAAGACTTGAAGTTAAATTATCCAGGTCATTGATCTTGAAAACTCAAAACCGAGAAAAAAATACTATTCAGTTATATGTTGTTGTATGCATATGTATTTGTGTGAAAATATATATACATACATACAAACACAAAAATATAACACAAAAAAAAAAGTATTTTGCCTCAAATTTAATTTTTTTTTTTAAATTCTTTTTTTTCTAAACATTTTTGGCAAAGATGTGGTAAATTTTTACGGAACTTCAACAGATCTGTATGCCTCTCTTTCTAATTTTTTTCCTGTCTTAAATTATTTCAGACGATATATATGTAAGAAATTTATTTATGTGTACGAAATTTAAGAAAAGATCCCAAGAAAAGAAAAAATAATAAATTACAAAAAAAAAAAAAACAAATAAAATGCGTTTTGTTTGAATCCTTGAAAATAATCGCATTAAGTTTTCACTCAAGTGATTTTTTCATAATTATTATTAAAGTGATTGAATGATTTCTTTTTCTTATTTTAACAACTTGAATACTTACTATAAACATTTTGATATTTTTTTTTTTGGAAAGTGAAAGTAACAAAGTATAAAATATTTGGAAAGGTAAAAAAAATTTATTTCTTTTATTACTATTAAAAATACATTCAATAATAAAATCAAAGAAAATCTTTTATCGACTATCTTAAATAAGGTACACGTACACACGTATAGGAAAAAGGATATGTGAAACATTTTGAAAATCTATAATTAAACGGAATCAATAAGAGATACGAAATAAAAGTTATTCAATATTTATAACAAAAAAAAAAATGATCTCCTGCGGTGGTCTGGGAACAAGTGCAAGCTGTTTCGATTAAATGTTTGTTTAAATTAATAGTAAGAGATTAAAAAATTTGCAGTAGAAATGAGATTTTTCATTTTTATAATTATTTTACTTTCCCTTTTGACATTATTGTACAAAAATATTCCATAATTCAAACTCACATAGGAGTAAAAAAATAAACCTACTATTTGAATTGATTATTAATGTTAAGCTTTAAAAGCGCTGTTATTTCCAGATGAGTCTCGTTCGAAAACTGTTTCAAAATATAAGAACATATATACAGGGCGTTTCGGAATCATTCAGGAATGTATTCTTTGATCAATTTCCAGCAAAAAATTGTATGGGTCCTGGAAGAATCATTCCTGAGATTATTTGCCACCTTATGAGTAGGGATTGCAATTTACCGTCGAAAATCATTTACCGGTAATCCGATAAATTTCTTCTCAATTATCGGTTTACCGATAATTTACCGATAAAAATTTAATTTTTGTTTTGTACATATAAATGCTTTATTAATTCAAATTAGTTCTACTTTACATTATTATTTTGGATTATTTTTATTCATAAAATAGGTTCGCAAGAAACAAAGGCAATTTAATGTATAATCGCTTAATCTAGATCTAATTTTAGTACAAAATAAACCGGCCGATGAAAAAGCTCTTTCGGCTTCTACACTGGTCGGTTTAATTGTTTCTAAATATTTATATACCATTTCCAGATATACTCCACGTACCCCAATATCTTCATAATGAACCATTACCCTCTTAATAATTTTCATAAGTTCTTTACCATTTGTTTCTTTTGAACTTTCAGAACAAAAGAGATAGTTTTTAGAAAGAGATTGAAGAAAACAGTACAAATATAATAACTGAAAAACAGTTCTTTGTCGCATACTATTTGCTTTTGTCTTTCACATAAGGACAGTATGTCCTTAATAATGCGTTTCTCAATTTGAATCTTCAAAATTCCAAAGCAACCAAGATTTGATTGATTTTCGTCATTTTATCAGTTGATGTTGTTGTATAATATTTAATGTTGTATAAAACTTAATTTATCGGAATTATCGGTAAATTTAAAAAAAATTATCGATAATATTTATCGTCAATTTTTCGACGATTTATCGGTTAATCGGTTAATCGTTAACCGATAATGCAATCCCTACTTATGAGAAACAAACTGTTTAATTAATTGGAGATTGTTTAGAAAAATTTAAGTGTTCATATTTAGTTCTATTTTCTTATAATATATTTTTTATACCCTGCACTTTGTGAAGGGTATATTAACTTTGGTATGGAGTTTGTAACTACTTGAAGGAGTCATCTGCGGTATGGACATATATATATATTCTTGCTCAGCGTAAAATTCTGCGTTGATTTAGACATGTCCGTCCGTCCGTCCGATCGCACGATAACTCAAAAACGAATAATGCAATCGACACCAAACTTTCACAAGTTGTTTCTATTGTGCCAAGGACGAACCCTATTGTTATTGGACCAATTCGGATAACGGGTTCGGGGAGCTGCCATACAACTCAAAGAGTTTATTTTAATTATTTCAAAAACTAATAAAGGTACAAATATAGAATTTTGTATACATGTGTCCAATTATATTCTACATATACTCTAAAAATTTTAATGAGATAGCTGTACCGGTTCGGGTGGCTGCCATACAACTCCAAAAGCAAATTTTTTATATTCGGCAAAATAATAAAGTCAGATTCATTGAACTTGGCAGTCGTGTGTCCAATTATAGGTCAAAGATATTTCTGAAGTTTTGGTGGAATTGCTTGACAGGTTCGAGCAGCTCCCATACAAGTCCAAAAGCTTATTTTAAATATTTAGAAAAGTAATAAAGTTAGATTCTTGAAACTTGGCAGTTGCGTGTCCAATTATAGATCAGATATATTAGCGAAGTTTTAGTGGAATTGCTTGGCAGGTTCGGGTACCTGCCATACAACTCCAAAAGCTAATTTTAAATATTTGGAAGAATAATAAAGTCAAATTCATGAAACTTGGCAGTTGTGTGTCCAATTATAGGTCAAAGATATTTCTGAAGTTTTGGTGGAATTGCTTGACAGGTTCGAGTGGCTTCCATACAAGTCCAAAAGCTTATTTTAAATATTTGGAAAAGTAATAAAGTTAGATTCATGAAACTTGGCAGTTGTGTGTCCAATTATAGATCAGATATATTAGTGAAGTTTTAGTGGAATTGCTTGGCAGGTTCGGGTACCTGCCATACAACTTCAAAAACTAATTTTAAATATTTGGAAAATTAATAAAGTCAGATTCACGAAACTTGTGTGTTCAGTTATAGATCAGACATATCCGTGAAGTTTCTATAGAATGGTTTCACAGGTTTAAGTAATTGCTATACAACAATGAAAGGT